GGGAAGAAATTCAAAGAAGATTAAAAACAAAGGAAGGGAAGGGAAAGAAAAGAAAGAGAGAAAAGAAGAGAACAAAGCGGAAAAGAAAGGAAAAGGGCGAAAGGAAAATGAGGGGGCAAAAGGAAAAGAAGATATAGGACAAGGGATGAGAATGAAAAAGAACTGAGAAAACTTGGGGATCATTCTCACATTATGTCAGCAAGGAATATAATATCAATGTTTAAATAAGTGAATATATATTATGTTTGTGAAGCTAAAAAACGTTTGTTACAGTAGATTTCACGAAACGTTGACCACAAATGTTCCGAACTTTGTTGCAAAGTTCAGTTCGCAAGTTCATTTTGGAATTCACAAGCCAATTTGTAAACAAAGTCCCTGATTGGTCCCTGAAGTAAAATAAGCCAATCAAATGCGACCTTTACAAATTGGTTTGTGAATCTCATTATGAACTTTTGAACTTCACAACGAACTTGCGAACTTCACAACGAAGTTCAGAACATTTGTGGTCAAAGTTTCATGAAATCGACTGTAAAAGTGAACATAATTTAGAGAGAGGAGTAACTAGGAGTACTTTTTAAGGGTAACATCTCTAGCTAATACACTGTGTATCAATAACCATTTATTTTGTTGTGCTGTTTATCAATGATCATGAGATGCAGAAGTTCTAAATAAACTAAAAAATTTGTTGTCAAAAACAGCATTGTAACATCATTTTTCTACCTTCAACCAAACGTTTTTTCCAAAGTAATTCTTTAAATCGTAGCAATTAATACCGTAATTGAGAAATTATTATTATTATTACACTGTGCATGCTGGGGTGCATGCAGTGCACATGCAGCCCATATGAGGCAAAGTTACTGTATGCTGGCACTATCATATAAAGCAATTTTGTATTGGGGGGGCTGATTACCCAGGGGCAATAATTAGGTATTATTTTCCTCTCAAAATTTACATATTATCACTAGTTTACAAATTCTTGGAGGGGGGGGGGCAGAAGCATACCATTGGGGGCAGGGGGCTGAGGCAAAGTTTTGGTGATAGTTCAGCAATAATTTAATTGCTAATAACAAATTAGATATTATATGAAAATAAATAATAGTGGTCAAAATAGTACTAAAATAGTTTTGGGGCTCCAACTTTTGTGATCAAAGCTAACCCCATAGGCATAGTATAACCCCAGGTCCCCAACCCCATACAGCAAGTTAATGCATGATGCTGACACTTGAACGAAAAACGGTGATATTTTAAAATAATGAAAACAAACAAGCTTATGCATAAACACTAAAATCTCAATATACACAAATAAATAATAAAATATATCATGAATAATTTATTACTTGCCTGAAGTTTGATTGTGCTCTTGCCAGTAATGTGGAATGAGTATGCGTTTCACCAGTGGAACTAGTTTGACGATTAGAACTGGCAGTAGAACTAGTAGAATTCGTTTGATTTTGCGGCCTTTGAGTCGAACCAGTAACATTTTTTATTTTTGACAAAGAATCTTCTAAAATGTCCGTCACGGCTTTTACTTCCTCCATCTTGTACAAACCTAGCCTGCGAACAGGCTCTCAAGCTCAATTGAGAAATGTTCGTTTTTCCAAATATGGAATGTCTATCCTTATATGGTGTTGTTTACAACTTCCATGCAAACTAAATTTAGACCGTGCAAACTAAATTTAGACCATACAGTTCATACTGTTTTTCAAAATATAAGATATTCAAGCAAAAGTTCAAATGTTTTAAATACTGTTTTCTCAAAACAGAACATTTCGTGCTTTGAGATAAATGGCCAAGACCAATTTCATAGTGCTTCAGCAGTTGACATGGTTTGGTCACATGTCCATTTTTGGCTGGAAAAGGTCACGCCACGACGAAGAAACGAAACGCCGCAACGAAACGAAGAGATGAAACGCTGCGACGAAACGAAGAGCCGCAACGAAGTGACGCGATGAAGAGATGCACGCACTGGAAACCGGGTACATGCTGCGACGAAGAGGTGGAAAATATACGCCTCGACGAAGTGAGACATCGAAATGAGACATGCAAGGACGAACTAGGTAGACACCTCGACAAAATGAGACATCGAAGTGAGACATGTAACGACGCCTCGACGAAGTGAGACATCGAAATGAGTCATGCAACGACGAATTAGGTAGACGCCTCGACGAAATGAGACGTCGAAGTGAGACATGTAACAACGAATTAGTTAGACGCCACAACGAAGTGGAGAAACGACAAGCTGACACGTCCAAATAAACGACAAAACGATGGTTGACATGACAAAATGAACATTTTGTCCACAAACTGACGCCATACGAAACACTATGGCTTTACCTGAGACCTCACAAACTGTTCCGAGGATTTTCATGTTTGGTTGTCTGTGTGGTTTACCATCCAGCGACAACAACACACTAATCGAACACCTTACCATAAAGCTTGATGTGGCCGTCTCCATGTACCCAAATGCTGGCATATTAGTTGGGGATTTTAATAAATGTCCAGTTTCCACAATACTCAGACATTTTACTTTAAAACAGATTGTTAAACAACCTACGAGAGGGAATGCTATTTTGGATTTAATTTTGACAAACATGTCAGACTATTGTAACATCCCCTTGGTAATCCCACCAGTTGGGTGCAGCGACCACAATTCAGTGTTATGCTCATATAAGAAAGGTTCAACTAAAAACACCCACACAAAAGTAAAAATCAGACAGGGAAATAATGCTGCAAAAACTGCTTTTGGAAAGTGGTTAACCGATTTTAATTGGACCATTTTATACCGCACTATTTCTTGTGAACAAAAATTAAACCTTTTCCAAGACACCATAAATGACGGATTGGATTGTTTCCTTCCGATAAAAACTGTAAAATTACAAGATAACGACAAACCTTGGGTTACTCCTGAATTTAAGAAAATTATCGGAAATAGACAAAAGGCATTCCATCATGGAAAAGGTCCACATTATCAGCAGTTACGAAATCAGGTAAACAGAGAAACTAAGAAGCTCAGATCCACATTTCTTGAGAAAAAGTTGGAACAGTTAAAGCTAAACCGTAACCCAAAAAAGTGGTGGCAATCAATAAAACAGTTATCAGGATATCCTAAGAAGAAATTCCTTTCAACTTTTGTCGTGGGAAATCAGGTGATGTCAGGAAAAGCCCTGGCCGAAAATATTAATGACGCTTTTGTTTCAGTTACCAAAACCGCTTTTGTTTCAGTTACCTTTAAATTGTCTTCATATCGACATTTTATCAAAACACAGCCTTTATGACATTCTACCAGAGTTTATCATTAAAGAAGAAGAGGTATACCATAAATTATCCATTATATCAACTGCTAAATCTCCTGGTCCAGATGGAATACCAAACTGGGTTCTGAAGTTCTACGCTTATGTACTTGCTTCCCCTGTTGCATCAATTTTTAATGCTTCCATCCAACAAGCGACTGTTCCGACCATGTGGAAAAAAGCCAATACCATCCCAATTCCAAAGATAGCTTCGCTTGAGGACATCACCAAAGATCTTCCCCCCATTTCGCTTACACCTACCCTGTCTAAAACCTGTGAACAGTTTGTTACCGATTGGCTACTAGAGTATATTAAGGAAAAGATTGATAGACGACAATTTGGTTCTTTAAAAAATTCCTGGACAACCCATGCCCTATTAAGCTTCGTTCATTACCTGTTATATGAAACTGATACATCAAAAACCGCTGTAAGGGTTTTTTGCTCGATTTTTCGAAAGCTTTCGATGTTATAGATCACAAAATCCTACTGTACAAGTTATATGAATTGAAGGTACCATCGAAATTACAAATTGGATTTGAAGTTTCTTTTTTGAATGCAAACAACACGTCAAGATAGCTAACTGTGTATCAAATTGGCAAACTTTAAACGGAGGTGTGCCACAAGGAACAGTTCTTGGGCCAATACTTTTTCTCGTTATGATAAACGACCTTCTCATAGACTGGAATAACAGATGGAAATACGTCGATGATAGTACTATCACTGAAAGTATTACACCGGATATTAATAGCATTCTCCAAGAACTTGTGGATACTATTTACAATTGGACCATCGTTAACAATATGAAACTGAACATCAGTAAATCAAAGAATTGATAATAGACTTTGCAAAAGATAAACAGGAATTCCCACCTTTAATTATAAATGGCGTTGCTGTAGACCGTGTATCATCAGCTCGGGTTCTGGGACTAATTGTTCAGGATAATATGAATTGGAACGAACACGTAAACAATGTTGTCAAAAAAGCAGGAAAAAGACTCTACATGCTTCGAGTGCTGAAACGATCAAACGCGGATACAAACACGTTAATCACTGTGTACACCACTATTATTAGACCTGTCCTTGAATACGCCTGCCAAGTCTGGCATTATAACATCCAAGAGTATTTGAGTGAAGACATTGAAAAGATTCAGCGGCATGCTTTGCAAATCTTGTTGCCATTAATGAGTTACAGAGAAGCCCGGAGTTTTACTGGTATCCCTTTACTAAAAGCAAGGAGAGAAACATTATGTGAACAGTTTTTTAAAAAAGAATGAGAATAATGATAAACTAAGCGAATTCTTGCAGCATAAAGCAACAACAGACTATGATATGCGACCAAGATGCAAGTATAACAATTACTTATGTAGAACTGAACGTTTTAGGAAATCATTTTTTCCTCAAATTATTTCCAAAGAAAACAGTAAATAACTGAGTAGAAGTATAGGCCTATTGATTTTGCTACTTTTGAACTCTTAATATTCTTAATAATGTAATATAATGATAACTTAATACTTTTTTTAACAGTAGATACAAATTTTGTAAATTTCTAATGTCATTTAACCTATTGGTTACAAAATCAGTTTTTAAATAAATAAATCTGAAATTGCAATAATTACAAGTCAGCGGTATTTCAAGTGCAGTAAACTTTATATAGCTAAACGCAATAAACACATCATTACAAATGATGCATTACAAATAAACAAATTATTACAAATGGAGATTTATAGATTTTATTAAACAAGAAACTATTATATAGATAAATAGGTAATATGTGCAAAGCGAAGTAACTCATAATTCAATACTCAATTTAAAAATCAATTTAAAAATCATTTAACTTATCATTTTTCCATTTGTTTTAGTAACATAGACTATCTATTAGGTTAAATGTTTGTCCTGTGTTTTATTTTATTATATATAAAATGGTTTTTGAAGGCTTTGTCTTGTATGACTTGCCGTATACACCATTTAATAGTCTTTCGACTGATTGATTTCTCCTTGTCATAGCAGACTCAAAACTTAATCTATCGCATTAAGATTTCCAGAAATAATAACTAAAAATATAGATTAAACCAATTATATCAACGCTCCCCAAGCCTAAATACATTAATTTTTGACTGAAAGTTGTCACATTTTCAGGCAGATTCACGAGCAAGTGTAAAGCGGCCATTCGCTCCTGAAGGCAATACACCCGGTAAACCACTGCCAAAAGTCTCTGTCATTGCGTAGTGCCCTCTTGCTCCTTAGAAGAGAGTTATTTCCATTCTGTTATGACCCCAGCCCTTGGATCAAAGGTAAATCATACAAAGTTTTACAGCACAGGTCCATCAAATAGTATATTTCAGCATGTCCCTGCATTTGGCAGATAATTGAAAAATTCTGCCGATATTCAGTCAATCTACATGCTGAATACAAATTGTACAAGTCCAAAATTGAAACAACAAAACATTTTTTGAAAAAGTAATAACACCATATCTACACAAGAAAAGCCTAGGTGGTCTGTCTCTAATTTACAGTTGGGTTTTGTGATAAAATACAGTAAAATACACGCCCTCATCAGTTTGGATATGCCCTAGTCTCGTGTACAGATTTCACTATGTACAGCTTCTTCCAGATTTCACTATGTACAGCTTCTTCCAGGTTTAAAAAATGCAACTATATATATTTAATACTTATTGACATTCAATTGATGTTACTTAACTGGAAGAGACAACCGGAGAGGTACTAAAGTCGTTAATTGCAATTTATCTGTACAGATCACGTTTTGCAAGTGTTTAGGGATAACCCAGATGATCCTGGAGATTTTTATCATCTGTTAAATAATCACCTGTTAAAAAGAATTATCTTGTGTCTCTGGGAAGGGCATATTCCCAATTTCGACTTGCAATCTCTTCGAGATGTTCTCCACGACCCTAATACTGGTTTGACATACGAATCTCTCACTGGTAAGAATAAACAATCTGTTCCAGATTGTGAGCGTGTCATTTCTCTTGGGGTGATAGAGTTTTTAGAAAAGAATAAGTATGTCAATGAAGCAAAAATCTTGTCAATTATCCACAACTGGCACAAAGCTGTAGACGGGCGAGGGTTAAGCGAAGATCTACGTTCCAAGTACTTGTGTGAAATGAAAGATTGGATCCTTGATGACTGGATGCCATGGGACAAGACAGAAAGGAACTATTCTCTAATTGATGTAATAGGTAAATATTGGCAAGAGACTTTTCTTCGCAAGTAATATTTCAAATTGCGGTAACTTGTGGTGCCCTTCCCTAGTTTTATAGATTGATAATAATAACTGTAAAGGAATTACATCATATGAACAGAGGTCTCATAGCCAACGAGAATAGATCTTGTAAATAGTTAATTTGACAGTGCACAATTCAGCTTGTTTGTTCATACTATTAAATTCTAATGTTCTAGGTGTATTGAATGGATGAGGACATTCTTGTACCAAGATCAACTCAAAACATTTGATTTATTTGAAGGTACTAAATAAGTTTTTTGTTTCACTTACATGAATATAGATCCTCTGAACTATTTAACATTAACTATTTAATATCTGCCAATTGACAATGTTTTATTCAAACATTTATCAAGCATGACACAAGAACCGATGCTTTGTGGTCCTTATAACTTGATGAACACTGGATCCGATTCCACTGGCTACAGCTATTGATTTACCTGTCATGATTACCAGAATGTCACAATTCTGGGCAGGTTGTACAAAGGCTGGATACTGCTATCCATCAGATAGAAATGTTTCCTACATTTCTAAAAATGTCTGAAAAGCTTTGAAATGGACCTAGTAAATTTATAAACTGAATACATCATGGCAATTTAAGAAAGCTTGAAAAAATCACCCTCTGGCAGATAATAATAATAATAATAATAATAATTACAATATTTAGTCAGGGGGTCCACTCACGAAAGTGATTTTCAGTGAAGCTCTGTTAAAAAAAAATAATAAAAAAATAAAAAATAAAAATATATATCTATCAAAAGTGAATATATGAAAGGTTAAATCGTATAAAGTTCTTGCACATCCTATCAGTTCGGTGGGGTGTCCTATGGCTATATAGCTAAATGTTTCTTTAGTTTAGTTTTAAAAGTTTTAATTTGACGTATATTCTGGAGTTCAACAGGCAGACTATTCCAGTCGTTGGCAGCATGGTAGCTGAATGCCCGCTTCCCCCAGTCCTTCTTCACACATTCCAAATGTATGTTCTGTTTGTTTCAAGTGTTGTAGCTGTGGATGTCAGAGGAGAACTTGAAATTAAATTTAAAACCGACGTCATTGTTTAAAGCCTTGTGCATGATTAGACAACGATGAAAGTGTCTATGTGTTGTTAACGGCTGCCAATTTAACAATCGTAGGGATTCTGAGGCTGACGAGAGTGGATGAGCATCAAGAATGATTTTAGCGGCTTTGTTGTGCAGAACTTGAAGGTTGTTCATCAGGACAAAGTTGTTTTTATCACCCCACACAAAATCAGCGTAGTCAAAGATCGGCATGACAAGGCTGTTTACTAGAATACGATGAGATCCAACTGTTAGGAGGTGCTTAACTCTTCGTATGATACCAAGACGTTTGTAAAGTCTTTGGTAAAGAGTGCTTCAATATGATATAGATGGTGCAATCCAGTATCTGGCCTTCATACAGCCTGGGTACAACCGACCCTTGTCCAGCTAAAACTAGTCAATTGACATCATGCTTTATTTATAATACTGTATATATTAAACAACTTTCGTATATGAACCTATTGGAAGTCAAAGGAATAATCAAGTCTTACAAGCATATTTTTAAAACATTATCTTACATTTTTACTGGCTTCAACTACGTTTTTGTGCCACGTCATTCCATCTTTTGTAATTTCTAATGTCAAATAATATCCCATTCTATAATATGTTGTGCAAAAGCGAATGTTGCACACTGAAACATCCATTTTTTTTAAAAATAGGTTTTAAATACTGTGTTAATTCTTTTGCAATATACCCTACTTTCTGAAATTCATCGCCACAATCATCAACACTAATATACACAGCAATTGCTTCATTGTCTGTTATGTTCTCTGGTTCTTCTTCTAGTTTAGCATAGACATGCCGATTGTAATCGTTCAGGTTCAAGTAGCCCTTTTCTAGGATGTCTTGTCTGCTAGAACAGTAACAAGTCCCCATAACTTTGAAGGGAAGAGTATGTGGGCCTTCAAAATCTGTATCAGTTTCTTCCTGAGAATGATCGGCATCTTGTTCCAAACTACAACATACCAAAAAAGAAAGAACAACCCACAACACAGTGTATTCTTCATTGTCGATGTTAATTTTGCAGTGGCTTGTACATGTGTATTGTCCTGGCTTAACATTTGCATCTTTGCTCACCACTCCATTATAATCTTCACCATTGCACCTAAACTTGATTTTCCTCAGGCTTATTGATAAGACAGGAAATGAGGGAACCATCCATGAGAACCACGCTTCCCCCATTGAAGTAATAGTGACCTGCATTTCAGGAGAGTTACAATCTAACAAAAATTTACAAGAAATACCATTAAAATTGTCTGGCATTGGATAAAATAAAATGATAACGCAGGGCACATTTTGGGTTCCTCATGATTATATCTTTTAAACCATTGTGTCAGTGGCTAAAAAGAGTCGGTGAGAAATGTATAAAAATAAACATACCATTATTTTGGGTGCTCAGGTTGGGCTCACTGTTGGGTGCCACTGTAACATTCACATCTCCATTAGACTCATTCTATGAATAAGAATAAGTTACATTATTTCATTTGTTTCTGGAGCGTTATAAAAATGATGTACGGTATAGGCAGCATCTTTGGTACATTTCCTAATCTAAGTTACCTTTTGGTCATACAATTTTTACCTGTGTTGAGAGCTGAAAGGTATTCAATACAGCATCCATTTGTTCTGGATTAATATTCCCAATTGCTAGATTCAGAGAATACTCCTTAGATAGTAAACTTGTTTGATTTAAGGATAATTCACAATCATCATTACAGTTAAACAGTTAATGGCAGCTAGGAGGGGAACACTACTCTATGCACTTGTGAGAATGTTGATATAATTGGTGGCTCTTACAACATGACTCTTCAACTGCAAACTAACCATTTAAAAATACATGTCAATAAAATATGGGGTGTCAGGATTACTTGACATATTACATCAACATAATGAGCAAAGTGAACAATAAAACAATACATATTGTCTGTGTGACTTTATATTGGGCAAGGATACTTTCCACATAGCTTTTGAAGACTTTCTGTTTTTTCTCCAACATCCCACTCTGCCAAAGGGATGGTTGTGAAAGTTGTTACATCTGTCACTGTTTGATGGAGAAAAACAGCTTTTGCCTGCCTAGAACTACTTGCATATCCTTCAGGGACATATTTAAGTGTTAGTAATGCCTTCATTACATCGGCCTCCTGCAAGACAATTTTCCTGGCCTTATTGATACCAACACATTTGATATTGGGGAGATAATTGCACCCAGCTATTATACACATGTGAAGAAAATCATCTTTAGTCATTGCAAGATGTTTAAGGATTTCCTTCAGTTCGATGCTATCAAACATGCCATTCATCTGAATTTTGAACAAATCTGCAAGCAAAATAATTGTACATAATGGTCATTCCAGAAAAGCCCCACAGAGGAAATTTCTGCCGTCCGGAGGGGAGACAAAATTGTTTCTAATAATAGTAAGTGTATTAGGACATAGGTAGGGGGTGAACTTACAATTTCCTCTGTGGGAGCAGGGCCATAGCTAGACGCTTTCAAAAGAAATCTGTCAGGCAGAACAGGAATATATGAATATACACTCCCTATATACCCAGTAGGGCCCGGCATGGGAGAGGTATGGATGTTTTCTGGAATGACCCAATAGTGAAAATGAATAGAATTTGTTGGCTGACTTTGAAAGCTACTTTTTTATGACATATGTAACACATTGTTTGCCTCGACTTCAAGCTAATGCCTCAAGCTAATATGGAAAATATATTGCCAACTTAAAATTATATGCAACACAAAGTATGTCAAGAAAATTCATCGATTGTAGATCATCATTAATAATACGCAATCAGTAAAATAAATAACTGACATGTAATAATCAGAACAAAATCTCTAATAATTGTATTGATCACAACTGATTAATAATTTCAATAAGCGTTGACTAACTTGTTATTGATAAATGAAGATTTTGTTGTAAAAGGGAGAACTTGTCTAGTTTGTAAAAGGCTGTGCCTTGCAGCCTTGTCTCTCGATTATAGTAATATGAATTACAACGATAATACTGACCTTCTGGCATCCATATGCTAATAAATCTGAATCCTCATTGATAGCAAATCCACGTGTCCATTTCTTGTCAGAAATGCAATCTGTGAGTCAGCCTCGTATGGAGCGACGATGTAGTCGATGTTTTTGTAGCGACATAACTAAAAGAATAACAAAACATTTCCCAGTTGTGATGAATTCCGTATATATTCACATATATGGGAATTGTAAAACTAGCATCTAAATTCTAAATGCACAACAATGCACAACTTACTCTGATGAATGTTGTTGTCATGGCATATGCAATCTGTGCAGATCCTACCAATAACTTGTTTGCTGCCGATGTTTCTCCTTTCTGCATGTGTTCTGCTGCTTTGGTCCTCGCTTTGTTTTGTTTCCTTTAATAATGACATCATTTGTGCATTTGTGAGAGAATGCTTTGATTTACATGTTTACACGATTTACATATTTTGTAATTCGCACATCTGATATTATATACAAAATGACAATAATTTAATATACCACGTCCTCTTCGCTCATTACTTTTCTTTAGCCAGCAATGGCAAGCCATCAAACACTATGAAAGGTTTTATCCCGCTTCGTTGCAGGATATCGATATACAACTCAAGGATGCCTTGCAATCTAGAACAATGAATATAGGAACTATTTAAAAACCCACTGTTTTCAAAATGAACATATTTAATATGATAAAATTAAAACCTCACCTGGAATCATTGCCGTTTTGTTTATACCTGGTAGAAAGTGCTCTATGTATCCAACATGAAGCGTCGACTGCCGCTGATTGTCCATTAAGCGATTCAATGTTAACTTTAACGGTAACGTCCTTCAAAAATGGCAGCAATGTATTGATGCCCATTACGAAATGTAACCAGACAAGAGGCTATGTGCTCACGGCATGATCAGACTGCGCCACGAGTCAGTATGCAAATGAATGAATTTTACATTTTACCCAGAAGCCTTTGCGCCGTAGTGCACACACCGCCTGGTATTAAATAATATTAGTGACATATTCATCGGAAAACACATGGTGGTCAACTTTGCACGTTTGTCACTTTATTTGCCTTGTGGAAGCAAGCAAATTTTGTTAAATGTTCTGTATTTGCTATTGGATACAAGGTGAATTAATTTAATTAATGACCTTAATCCAATAACTGCGTTTCCTAGTTTTGAAGTTGACCACCAAGTGCTAAAGTGCCACATAATTCAGATTGAAACCCAACTATGGTCACATCACTGTTTAGTCTGCTAATCACTCTTTTAATCTGCCTAGTCCGGCTTGGCTAATTGACTATTAGAGCAACATAAATAAATATTTACTAATAATTAGTAATAATTATTAGTTAGAAATATTAATATTTTATTGCTTTAGGGAATACTGTACAGTAACCTAGCCAGAGCCGGGGGACCCCCCCCAGAAAATGTTGCACCCCCGGTACATCTAACTTTTGTATGCCTTGGTTAAGCTGTCCCTCCCCCAGGGTCCACAAATTTAAAATTTCAAAGTCTGAGTGCATATTTTTTGAAATACAACATATCTTTGGTAAAATGCTCAAGGAAAAGGATCTTCCAACAGCAGCAGATGACACAGCAAATCTTTAATAAAATGCTCAAGGAAAAGGATCTTCCAACAGCAGCAGATGACACAGCAAATCTTTAATAAAATGCTCAAGGAAAAGATCTTCCAACAGCGGCAGATAACACAATAAATCTTTACTCTGTCTAAGGCTGGATGATTTTACTCATCAAGAGGAGTCTTGCAACTTAAAATTCAGGCCTGTAGTGATTAGCTCACGCTGTTGCGGTCACCCTGCCTATAGTCATGTCTATTATTCTTGTTCTTGTTATAGTTTTGTGTATTGTAATATGGCAAAACTAATAAATAAAAAATAAAAATGGGTTAATTAATCAGTTGGTTATTATACAACCGATTTCAACTTAATTCATATTTAACATTCACTTTAACCCATTTACTGGCAGTACTCTACCACTGACGAGTAATTAATTGTCTGGCGTTAGACAGAGTAAATACTAAGTAGGGCACATTGACATTGCCAGTTAATGAGTTAATATAAACAGCATTAAAAACAGACTACGGTATCAAAGGCTAGGTGGATGCTTCTTTGCCTGCAACAAAGCATAACAGTGGGATTGCCACATGATCAATGTTAGATTTCAGCAATGAAGGGAATCAATATTTCAATAAAGTAATTATTTAAAAAATAATTGTTAAAATAATCAATATTTTAATAAAATAATTCTTGTCAATTAATACAATAATTGTTAGAAATTGTTGGGTTAATAATTATTGGGTTTGTTGCCTCCAAGGAATGCATCCACTTAACCTTTGACATCCTAGTCAACTGATTTTAACATGTTAATATTGTTGAAAGTATACAAACGTAAACTTTATATAAGATAAACACTACAGACTTCCGGTTTGTTTTTATTAGTTAAGTGGTCACATGTTTAATTGGAGACCATGTTGGTTGTTGTGTTTATGAAAAACATCAAACAGTGAACTCTCGTTGATATTACTTTGTTAACAAATAATTTTTATATTCTTTTAAATTAAATCATTTCAAAGGTTATGGGCCCAGGGATGTATGCGTAGGAGGTAAACAACAAAGCAAAATAAGCAAAATAAAGAGGTAAACAAAGTTTTTCGTGATCGAAAGTTGGAAATATATTTGGTATTGTAAATATGGCGTCAGGTTTGGGCGTGAAAACGATGAGTACAATTCCGTTGAATGGCAAAAATTTCCCCACTTGGAAAGTTCAATGTCGAATGGCACTTATGAGAGATGGTGTAAGGGGAATTGTGGCCAAAACTGAAGTGTTGCCAAGTCCAGATAAAGCCGAAGATTTGGCAAAGTTTGTTGCAAGAAAAGATTGTGCCTTGGCAACCATTGTTCTGTCGGTCGATCCGTCGTCGTTGTATCTCCTTGGAGATCCACAAGACCTTGCTGTGGTTTGGGAGAAATTGACCAATCAATTCCAAAAGAAAACGTGGGCAAATAAGTTGGCACTACGTTGTAAACTCTATTCATTGCGGTTAAAAGACGGTGAATCAATTCAGAAACACATCAAAGAAATGACTGAGATATTTGATGGATTAGCGGTCATCGATGACCCTATAACGGAAGAGGATCGAGTTGTTCATTTGTTAGCAAGTTTACCTGAGTCATATGATATACTGGTTACAGTCCCAAATGTTACCATTGTGGAAAGTTTGGACACATTAAACGAAACTGCCGAGAACTGAATAGTCTAAAACATGATGGGGACAAAAGTGAGTTTAATGAGGGTATTGACAACAAACATAAAGCTAACTCTGCAGCCAAATCCAGACGAACAGACAGCAGCTCAGATAGTGATGAAGTGGGATTGATGGTGAATCATGCATTTAGTTCTGTAAACGGGAGAACAAATACATGGATAATTTATTCTGGAGCAACTTGTCATATGTGCAATGATGTGAGTCAGTTTGTGAAATTGCATAACTTGGAAAAGCCTGAAGATGTTACTCTTGGAGATGGTCATGTTGTCAAAGCAACTGGACGAGGAGTCGTTAAAACAAAAATAGAGTCTCCAAATGGCCAAAAGGGAAAGAGTTGTGTACTGCAAGATGTTCTTTATGTTCCATGCTTATCGTATAACCTAGTGAGCGTGTCTAAAGCTACAAAGTCTGGAAAGACTGTGAAGTTTAATGAAGATGGATGTCACATTCTTGATGAAAGTCAA